CAGGCTATCGTACCTCCCCGATGATTTTGTAAACACAAAACACTCATTTGATCCTAGCAAAAACAAACAAACAAGCAAACCGGAAAATAAAATATATATAATCATGGAAGCAATAATTAGATTTAAGGAAATAATGTATTTACTCAGCCTGTTCCGACAGCACTTGCGATTCTCTGAAATTGACATTGATGACGTCATTGTTGGTCCTATTATCATGACAGCTGGCTAAATTGCCCGCAACGCTAATTCCCAACAGGACACCTCTTACGTTCAGTGGACTTTTCTTCTTCTAATATTACGTCTTCTTAAGATGCTGTTAACATCCCACGATGCAATCCTATGTGCCCCCCCCCCCCTGATATTCCAGAGGGACGGTAAAAAAAATGCGATCTGATCGGACAGATAGTACTTTTACTGTACTTGGAATTGAGCTTTTTTTTTATAGTCGTGCTGGAAAAAAAGAACTTGCCAATCGACTTGTTTTTGTCATGTCTAAACAAAATTTTCCTTTTTTCGGGGAGGGGCTGGGCATGAATATATCCAACCGACTACGTTAAAACAATATTAACACATTTCCGAAAATATCTATAATTCGCAATGCTCAATCACAATTTTTGCAAAATCTTGTGTATGGGGAAAATATCAGAAAAAATTATGGACACGATGAAATCTTAATTGAAGAGCTTGATTTCTAAAGGAGCTTAATCCATTTTTTGGGGTCTCAAAATACTCATTTCCTACAAGGAAATAAATGCGCTATCACATTCTGAAATTTTAATCTTGAAGCATAAACAAAAATTAGCTACACAATTATGTTTAGTTCCAAAAGAAGCTGAATCCATGAAAAAAATATTTGAAAAATTCAGCAAATTTAAAATGAAATATATTATACTTGGTAGATTTTGTTAAGCCATATATTATTGGTCAAGAGTAAAACACCTTGAACATAATATCCAAATATGAACATTACATTGCTAAAGGGAAAGTGGCAGAATAAAAAAAAAAGGTGATTTACTCGGAAATACGAAAAAGGGGATTTAGCTCATTTTGGAATTAAACTCTTCATAATAATAGAGACAATCATCTAAAAAGTTTACGAGCAAAAACCCAATACGGTAGTTGCAATAATGATCAAACATTCCCTGTAGCCTGATAGTCAGACTTTCTTTTCGTCCCACCGTCATGTAAAAAAAAGGTCTTATGATACCCGAGATAAAGGCGGATGTAAGGGGCCTACGCCTCTCCGAGTTTGTTTTGTTGGTCGTGCATTATATTGTATAAAATCTGAATTTGAGAGAAGCTACTTGTCTTGTTTAACCTGTTAACGGGTCCAACATCCAACCTGTCGGGTATCACAATTAAACACCAAAACGGGTCGGTTAGTGTTACAGTAATGGGATAGAAAAATAATGAAAGAATAACAAGAAATGAATGGATGAATGAACGAATGAATGAATGAATAGTAAATACGTAGCTACTAACTAGCTTAAATGAATTAAAGGATAACAAATGGAAAAAAAAGGGGAAAAAAGAAAGATAGGCCTAAATACATAAATAAACAAATAAAGCAATATTATATACATAAATGAGCGGGAAAAGGGAATATATAATATGGATGTACATCTATGTAAAGATAAACCTAGGTTTATTTTGTCCAAGAAAGAGTGAATAAAATTTAGAGCGACCCACTCGGGAAATCTAGTGAGGACCTAATTCTTCTCACGCATGCTTTATTGTAGTAATATTAAGTTTCAAGAAACAGAAGGCAATTTCCACTTTCTAGTTCTCATGTCGCCAACGATATGTAATCAGATAAACTTTCGCAACTGCATCCGTATCGAAAGCCAACCGATATCAATTTATTTTGGTTTGTTTTCGACATGAGTTGTGTCGTAACAAAAACTGTTTATAAATCCTCTTCGTTATTCATTTGCAGATCCCGGAACAGACGAAATTCTGCCATGCGATATAGTTCCGTACTAATTCTGTATCTAATCGTCACCAAAAACATGGCCAAAAAAGGGAAAACCCACAGATTGCGTGTTTTGATTTCTAGGCATTGGGTGGTTCAGCAGACTGCTGCGATCAGCGCTGTTATGGGGGAAATTAGGATGGAAAATGCATGCGTTCATGATTGAAGGAATCAATCCGGAGCTTAACTGATCGATTTCTTTGAGTGGATGGGATAAGATGAGTATATGTGATGTCTTAGGGTCGAGTGGTGGGCGCTGCGTTTCAAGATGGCTCCGACGATTTGCCTCAAGTGAGACATGTGGGCTTTGATATAGCCTATATACGTGACGATTGCTTTTATCTTTTTTTCCCTCTTTTTTGTTGTTGATGTTTTATTCACGTGTTATTCATTTTTTATTATATTATTTTTTCTGCTGCTGATGATGTTCAAATATAGAATAGATTATTCGATGGAAAAGAATGGGAATAAAGAATCGTCCTTTTGTGTATTCTATGAATGAAGTGGTTTAAGAGATTTGAAAACAATTGTTTTGGCTTTCCTATACAGCATAGTTCATTATTCGCTTGCTTACATGAAACTTGTTATTTGGCATTAAAGTTTTTTCCCGGGGTTCACATGCTAATAACGATATCACACCAATGAACTGAGAGATGATGGCAGCGAATAGGCCTAGTTGAAAATAAATGGAGGAAAATGAAAAGAATTACCATGTCTACTTTTCTACAAATGTGGATAAACTAATGTTGTTGCAAAAAGTTGGAAAAAAGGCGAAATCATTTGGCGCCCTCTTGAGTTGATATGCTGCAATTAAAAACAAAAAAATGATCTGAAATTTTTTCTGAAATTGTTTTCAAGGTTTCATTTAATAATTGCTAGTCATATGCCTCTTTTTTCTCTCTCTCTCTCTCTCTCTCTCTATCTCTCTATCTCTCTCTCTATTTATCTTTCTCTCTCTCTTTCTCTTCTTCGTCTTCTTCTCCTCCACCTCCTACTTCTTCTTCTCCTTCTCCGCCCCCTTCACCTTCATCATCCTCCCGTTCTACTCCCCTTCTTTTCTTCTTCTTCCTTTTCTTCTTCTTCCCCTCCTCCTCCTCCTCTTCCTTCTTTTTCTTCTTCTTCTTCTTCTTCTTCTTCTTCTTCTTCTTCTTCTTCTTCTTCTTCTTCTTCTTCTTCTTCTCCTTCTTCTCTTTCTTTCTCTTCGTTGATGACGATGGAATAACTGACACTGTGGCACAGCAAACAGTAAGGTGTTGTGCGCGTCTGCAGCGTCTGTTTTATTATCCACTTTCAACATAAAAAAGTTGTCTCGTATATCATATTTAACAAGAGAACGCGTAAAGAAAACGATGATGATGATAGACATGTAACATAAAAAAATAACAATGTGTCATATGGGGAACATATCAATAAGCAAAGCGTGTAATGTTAAAGGTTACAATATATTATAAAATAAATTATAAGAGAGGAAGAGGGAGGGGTATACGTGTGTCAGGTACCGAGAGAGTGGGGGGGGGGGTATATTTTGCGTGCGATATTTGTGGCTCTACTTTTTAGACAGAATATCGATAAAAAGATATGACCTTAAGAAGACAAACTGCATCGAAGAAATATAGAAAGATGGAGAAAGACAGACAGAGAGAGAGAGAGAGATGTCGGGATGATATGACTTTGAACAGTAGGTGTTGTATTTGAATGGATGAAAGCAGATCCAACGCTAATGATGTTACTCCCGAGAAATGATGAATCAATTATAGACTCAATTTCACATCATGTATGCCTAAGGACCACACTAATTGAATAATTTTCATAATAGCAAGGTTACAATTCCCAACGTGATACGAAATTGAAGCCTTTAAAGTAGACATTCATTGAAAATCACAAATATGGTCAATATTGTGTCATTAATTACCAGGAAGCTTACAGAAGACAATCGTATAAGCTTTGGGTCAACTAAGTTTCGGACAATACAAGAATTTACATATAAATAAAAGCTCCCCACAGGATCCCGGATATACGAGAGCTTCGCCAGAAAAAGCGATGTCGATGACGTCACATCAGGGACCAATCCTGCGTAAGCAGGCGACGCCCTTCAACTATTTTTTCAGTGCAATTATTTCTTAATAATAAGAGTTTGATTGATTTTAAACATGAACGTATTACATCAAGGAAGTGATGCTGATTATAAATTATTAGAATCTTTTGCTTAGAAATAGTCAGCGCAAGGATAACTGATCAATTAAAGCACCGCTGAAATATCAGCCTACTTAAGGACTAAAGAGCCCGTTGAATTATAGAATGGACGGTGTTTTTCCACATTGAAATGCTGCACATGCTTTGGTGTATGCAGCTGATTGATAACGGCGTCTTTTTATACAAGCCATATTGAAGCGTTAACTGATTCCCATATTTTTGCATAACGCTGTATTTTTCATCAATATTAAACCATGTCCGAAAGTTATAGCGAGGCAACAGATCAAGCAGTTACATTGGCGCTGGTGATATGAGAGGAGACGACGAAACTGGCAATGAAAATTATCGTGTGCAAATGTTTTGGGACATCATCTGCTTATGCTAATTCGGTACCTTTAGTGACGTCACAGATCTCATAGTGTTCTGAGAGGATTTAAGTGCGAAATTGGGACGGTATTTTACCGTTTTTAAATTGATAATAATCCTTTGAATGTTTCCAAGAGGGAATTTTGATAATCGTGTTCGATTTTACCTTCCCTTATGCATTGCTACAAATCAAATCAATATCCAAACTACTACTTTAACCAACCGCCATTTTTTGTAAATGAGTATTGATATTATTAACCGTGTTGTTATCTCTATTTCCGCTTTCTTCAGAGCAACAACCGTTGTCTATACTTTACAAAATAGTAAAGCAATGCGCATTAACAAAATACAGAACAAAATAAACAATCTTCTCACATAAACTAAATTTTTTAATCCTATAATGATTTCTAAATGATAATTTTTTTTTCTTGAAACTTAATTTTTTTCTTATCCCCTATTTTCAAAGCATTGTAAGGTATATTCAATCTTACAAAAAAACTTAATTTCACGTTGGTGAATATTCTATCTCTACACAAGTATATCACCAGCATCGTAACTGCGTCTCTTTCTATTTGACTGAAATCTTCGAGGTCTTCTCTCATTCCGAGTATCCTTCACTCAGTAAGAGTGGTTAACGATTTTGATTCGCCTTGTTGATTACATGAAATTATCTCTTAGGGACTATGGTGAACTTAAATGAGAGTTGCGAAACGAGGATGCTGATGATGAAGCAGAAGGAGAGCAAGAAGAAGAACAAGAAGAAGAAGACAGAGAAAAAAAAAGAGAACAATAAAAAGAACAGGAACAAGAAGAAGAAGAAGAAGAAGAAGAAGAAGAAGAAGAAGAAGAAGAAGAAGAAGAAGAAGAAGAGGATGAAGAAGAAGAATCATGTTTCTGACTCAGGGAATTTTGTTGGTTAAGAATGTTATATAATGAATGCCAATATCATTGACTTATTTCATATTGACACTTTCCAAGGGAGATTCAGCCTCGTAACTGCGTGTCTTTCTATCATGTGTTCACGGAAATCTTCGTGCTCCTCGTAATAAACATGTTTAACTCTTTTGCCGAGTATTCTTAAGTCATTAGATCTTTTAACGATCTTTGATTCGTCTTGCTGATAACGTGAAAGTGTCTCTCAGGGACTACGCTGAACTGAAATGAGTGAAGCGAGGTTTTCATCCTTGGGGGAAGAAAACGAGAGAAGAAAAAGAGAGAAGAAGAAGAAGAAGAAGAAGAAGAAGAAGAAGAAGAAGAAAAGATAAAGGGGAAGAAGAATAGACGGACTCAACCAAAGCCTGCTATCTTTCTCAGATTGGGAATTATGACAAATATGAAAATAACTCCTTTTCACTAGACAATGTTTCACAGGTTCAGGCGAAATTACGTAATTCAGCAAAGCAATCACCCATTTATCATCGAATCGGTTTTATTATAAGCAATACACAACGCATCCCCCTCTCTCCCACTCTACCTCTCTCTGTGTCTGTATCTCTCTCTCTCTCTCTCTCTCTCTCTCATCTTTCTTGCCTCTTTCCACCTCTCTCCCTTTCTCTCTCTTTCTGTCTCTCTCTCTCTCGCCTCTCTTCCTCTCCCTCTCTCCATCTCCCCCCTCTCTCTCTCTCTCTCTTTCTCTTTCTTATCCCAAGCGTAAATCCATCTATAAAAAAATAAGAAAGCCGAAAAGGCGGCCGGGGAGAAAAAACGGAAATATAAAATTTCGTAGATTGGATAGAATTTTCAGCTTATGGAATAAAGAAGAAAGGGAAATACAGGAGCTCACGTAAATAGTTTTGTTTTTTGTATGGAAAGGGAGGAATGTATAGCCCTTGTCCCAATTTCATATAGTACTCAACAAAGTTAATATCTGAAATTACAGTCGAGAGATGATCTCTATAAAAGTGACCACTGGTTCTTTCTTTATTTCGTCTGCTTTTCTTTCTGTGCGTGTCTATATGTGTTTGTGATACCTGAAATGAAGGGGAGGGAGGTGAATGCTGGTCTAAAATGGCAGTATTGTAGGATGCGAAAGTTAATGTGGTTGGATGAGCAAGTGTGCGCTTGTAAAATGGCGACTGGCCGGAATGCTCCCCAGGGAGTGGAGAATGTGCATACATTGTGTGCGGGTAAGCCTGAATCCGATGACCAGAATACAATAGCAATGTTGTCCTCTAACAGTTTGAATATATTTGAAAGGATTACAGATTCCAAATTTGTTCTTATTTACGCAGGTTACGCAGTTCGACTGTAAGAGAGAACGTCAAACTGGCGGCTCTGCTTAAAGGGAGTGTAACTTGGCAAATACTGGTTAACGCCATCCACGTTTTCTTTTGGAAAACTGCACGTCAACGAATGGACTTGATTATCATCGGCTCAATCTCTACGTAGTCAGCGTACTCAAAACAGACCGAAATTCTCCTCACGCTTCGGTTTCGCGTAGGTAATTGCACGCACGTGATTGCTGCGGTCGCGTCGTCCTTAGTCGTATTTTATTAGGAACTCACATTGTCGTCGTGCAAATCTTAAAGTCCCTGATGGCCCCCAGGTTATGATATGGTCACATTACCCAAAAGTAGACTGCTCGGCGGCCGAGTGGCGAGTTTTTATCCAATTCTACCCGGCGGCTGCCCAGCCACCGAGCGGCTGCCGTCCATGCACCGCTCGTTTTTAGGGCATCGCTCGGTCGCCGCTGAAGTTTAAGCGCGGAGTTAAAATTTGGGCGGCGCCTGCTCACTTTTCACTCGCCGCCCAAAATACGCTCGGTGCCTGGGCGGTCGCCGCCCGGGCACCGACCTAATCGCTGGTCGATGCCTAATTCCAGCAGCGACCGAGCAGGCTACTGATCGGTTGGTCGCTGCTCTGATTTGTGACCATAGCTTTAGGCCACGGGAAACACACGTAGTCTCGTCAGGCTACACTCCTTTTAAAGTTAAAAAAAAAAATGTCCTCTCCCTCTTGATCTATACGGCTTGAACTTATATGGTCCTTCAGTGGCGTATCCGGATATGTTAACTGAGGGGAGGGGGTTTGTGCGGGGGAGAAATCATCCAGAATACTAAATAGGACCATAAAAGCGTTTAAGTAGATCATTATTATTATTGTTATTTGTATTGAAAAACTAATTATTAACATATTATTCTCCTCGATGTAACCACATCTTGTCGAAGCCCGGTTAGCTCAGTCGGTAGAGCATCTGACTTTAAGCAGAGGGTCGCGGGTTCAAGTCCCTCATCGGGCAAGAGTAGATTTTTTTGCGTAATTTCATAGTCAGCGTACCATAGTACCTAATCTGTTATTACTAGCAAGGTTTACATTTGTATCAACATATTAGTAAACGGATGTATGCACTAAGAAACGCGATGTATATGGCGCCAAGTTGCTTCACATCTTGTATTACATGGTGGCATATTCGCGGACGTTGTCTCAATGTAAAATTAGAGCAAGCGGTCTGTTTAGGACGGGTGGAGAAATCACCCAGAATAAGCGGTAAATGTCACCCTAAAAGTTTTTTTAGAAGATTATTGTTACCATTGATATTTATATTTTTTTAAAACTGATTATTACCATATTATTCTCCTAGATGTTAACACATCTTGTCGAAGCCCGGTTAGCTCAGTCGGTAGAGCATCTGACTTTTAATCAGAGGGTCGCGGGTTCAAGTCCCTCATCGGGCGAGAATAGATTTTTGTTTGCGTAATTTCATACTAGTCAGCGTACCATAGCACCTAATCTGTACAAATTCGGCGGCACCTGCTCACTTTTCACTCGCTGCCCAAAATACGCTCGGAGCAAGCGGTCTGTTAGGAAGGGGAGACAAAATTGTATTGATCCTTTCATGTTGAAGTTAATCATTAAAATTGAATTTGATCTAAAAGAATGCAGTGGTGTGTTTTTTTAAACTTGGACTACCCCCCCCCCTTTTTTTTTTGTTTTGTTTTTGTTTTGCTTTTTTAATAATAACAACAAAAAAAAAATAATAATTATGCCAATGGCTGACCTAAAAAAAGGTGACCTTACCCCCCCCCCCCCCCCCAACGGAACAAAATGTCAAATGTTCAAATTTCGAGACCGCTTACACCCCCCCCCCCCCCCTCCGCTAATTCAGCGGCTGGCTGAGTCGTTGCGAAATTCTGGGCCCGATTTTAACCTCCCCCCCCCCCCTTCAAAATGTCCTGCGTACGCCACTGTGTGTACCGTCGAAGCTCTGGACACCGTCTCCCTTCCGAAGACTCAAACAGGGGAGGAGCACTCCACTGGAAACGCCACTGGAAGGGATAGCGAGTGTTTCTAGCCCCTATGTAATCCTTCCGTTACACTTAACGCGTACGGCACATTAATTTAACAGTTTGCCTGTGGGTATTATACCTATCAGCCCCCCCCCCCCACACACACACACACACACAAACACACATACAAACACACATACCCACCTTGTCTAGCCTAATATATGATTTTTTTTTAAAGAATGCCACATTAAGAAAATTATATGAGTGGCAGTTCAGCAGGGTCCAGACCACGTATAGTAAAACTTGAGTTGAAATAGAATAATAATTTTTCCCCTCTTGATCAAAAACTTGAGCTTGCCTTGTACTCAAGTGGCTTATCCAGAACTTGCCCTGTACCAGGGAGGGGGGGGGGGTAGAATCCTTACAGACGAAGGATATATAGATTTACTGCACATTTATTTATACTTTGTTAATATGCCTATTAAACCATATAATGATATCACCAGTAGTAATCTCTGGAGTGTCTACGGTTGTAATTGGTGTTATTATATTTCTATAACAAAGCCTATACCATTCTGTACTCATGTTCTATTGTGTATTTTATTTATTCCTAATTTTGTATTTTGTATAAGTTGATAGTACATGTATGTTAATTAATGTTATATGAATTTAGAAACAGCAGGAAAATGATTTGTATGCCATGTCATTGTGCATGATCGATAAAATTGAGCTTGAACTTGTACATGAGCTCACATTGTTCATACGTATGTGCCGTAGATTCCATGGCTCCCTTCACGCCGACATTATTTTTTGAAAAGGAACGGGGGAGGGGTGCAGACGCCCCTCCGCCCTTCAGATATACTGAATACGCCACTGGTTGGTGCGTTTAAGACCGTCTCAGCCGGGCCCCGGTGTAAACCTTTCGTCACACTATACCTGACATTCTGGACGATTACATGGATTGCGATCAATCAGGCCAAATCGATGGGTCACTTCTTTAGATCACTCGTCTGTAATTTCAGTCACTCGGGGGTTATAAGGTGTTTATCAGAGATCACCAAGAGAGCTTCACCTTTTAACACTCTCTTGTCTAGCCCACATGCATGTTCCCGCCTTTTTCTTTTTCTCCTTTTACTGTTTCTTTATCCTTACCTTTTTTTTTTGGTATTATTTCTTTTTCCTTACATATATCTACATCATTCTTTTTTTTCTCTCTTTTCTTTTATTTTCTGTTTTTCTATTTCTGTTTTTCCTTTTTATTCTTCATTTTTCCATTGATGCTTTTACAATTTGTTCTCTTTATATCATCCTCTTTACTCCTCTTTTCCTTTTTTCCTTTCCGTTTTTTTTAATACAAATTCTCCTTCATTTTAATATATCTGTTGTTTTTATCCTTGTCTTATGTTTATGTTTATGTTTATCTGTATCTTTCTCTCATCTCTCTCTCTCTCTCTCTCTCTCTCTCTCTCTCTCTCTCTCTCTCTTTCTCTATTGTCTTATAATATCTGCTAGGTGAATGACCATACTAAATGGTTGACAGACAATTTCAGCGTTGCTATAAACGGATATTCAACGTAGCTTAACATATTCAAAAGATAGCCGTGAGCAGGTGGCAAGCTTATTTATCGGAACTTTCAGGGTATTCTTTGTCTTGGGAAATCAAATGAAAGTTTGCTATTGATTTACTTTTCAACGGAAGACCATTTCCCAAGAGATAAAGAACTGCCACAACAAAACGTTGATTAATACCAAAAAAGAATCCCAGAGAGAAGTTGTGTCAATAATTGTGTCACTCCAATCCTTTGCGATTTAATTGGAGTTCAGAGCTGTCATGATCATGATTATGAAGGCACGCGGAAGATGTAACGTACGTGATTTGACTTTATAAACTCAAGTCAGTATACTACTTGCATTATCGTTTTATTCTCTATAAGTTTCCTAAAGAACCTGAATGAACTATGGCAATGATGAAGATGAAGATGTAATGATGATGGTGATGATCATGATGATGGTGATGATGGTGGTGGTGGTGATAGAATTTAACGGGTATGTCCGCATTCATTTTTCTGCCATTTAATATCGTCTGTTTATTATTTTAAAAATTATAAAATCCATAACTATCATGAGGCTGTGAGTAAACGATTTCTTGCCTTTATCATGTTAAAAAAGGAGAGAATAGTTTAATATTATCACCTGGAGCCAAATAATAAAGAAAATTATGAAAAATAATAATTCATTCCAATTTGCGTCTTTAAAATAATAATATTGTCTCCATCGACTGTTTTAATGTATTTAGTGTAATGACTCCTACCTTTGAATTCATATGTTTTGCTATCAGCATGATCAGGTAACATGAGAATCGTCCCCCGGGCCAGACGCCAAGCTAAAATCTTTGGAAAATACATTTGGAAAGAGCTAATTATTGCTTCTAAGAATATCATGAAAATATACCCTTAAATGCCTCAAAGGAAGAATCGTTGGAGCTGATGATGAACAATTATTTCCACGTGAAGAAATAATGTCCTTCACGATTACACGTTTTATATCTCTCTCACTCCCTCTTTCTCTCTTTCTATCTCCCCCCCCCCTCTCTCTCTCTCTCTCTCTCTCTCTCTCTTTCTGTCTGTCTCTCTGTCTCTCTGTCTCTCTGTCTCTCTCTGTCTCTCTCTCTCTCTCTCTCTTTGTTTATATTTCCAATGTTTGGTCACATCTTGCATAATTTTTTCTAGGATTTAGACTATACAGTGCGTATAAATAAAAGTATACCCAACTTTGGTTGATTCCCATTTCAAAACGTGATGTAAATGTCCTCTGTACCAAATTTGGGCTGAGGCAAAAGAATATGTTACCGCTTACCTATTCTTTTAGTACTTCATCTGCTTTCCCTTGTATAATTTTGATGACACAACTATTTGCCCACTCTCATGGTGTGTCAAAATTTCACACGCTTTGGTCGCCTGTATACATTTTTCTCTCTCTAAAAGTGGAAAGTTCAAATCTTGGGAAAATACCCCCCCCCCCCCCACCTCCCAAATAAAATTAACAAATTATAATAGTAACACTGAAGCATATGGGATGGGTGATGCTTGACAAACAACGATTACAAAAAAAGACCTTCAACAATTATTTAAGATTTAAAATTATAAAAAATGGTTAACATTTATTATTACAACATCCTTGAAGAAAGTGAAAGGAAACAAATAACTTACTTGTGTGGAATTAAGCAGAAAGTTCCCTAGTTGACGATTTCACTTTCATGTTAGGGAACTAATGTTTTTAGATTTCCTCAAACTACTTCGTTGAATATTTTGACTATACTTTATTTACGCCCGGACATGAAAAAGGTCATCGGTCCATAATTGATTATTTTCTTACAAGGTTCAGAATCTATCTCCTTATTTCGCCCTTAGCTACATATAGAAAGAGAAACTAATGTTATTAATTATACACCTGGTATATAGACTATAATAGAACTACAAAAAACTAGTTATGAACATTCTTAGAATAATCGAATAATAACTTCCCCTGTAGCTACAGTGTTTGTAACACATTTGTATTCTTAAATTTAATTGTTTGAACTAAATGTAATTGTTTGAAGTAAATTTAATTACCAAACTTATAACATAACATCAAAAGTAACACCTGGTTATTTTCATGTTATTTCATTTTCCTTGACACCATTTTTGACAGTGAAATTGTTCTTCTTTTCCTGCAAGACTCAATTACTTTAGACAATCTTGTATATTCGAGAGGCTTAATATCTATATTGCTTCTTGAAAACTGATCGAGGAGAATCCGCATTGAACTTGGGATGCTCTGAAAATGTATACCGGTGATAACATGAGGGAGGAGGTGGGGGGGGGGGGGGTACATCAAAATTGGGTATACGGTTGGAGCAAAATTGATTGTAAACCCCTGCTGCCAAAATGATTAACTTTGGTGAAATTTGAACGGGCTTTCTATAGTCTACATACCTTGGGGAATGAGTAGGTTTGACAACTAAAATACTGTTTATCGAGACATGTGGGTTATTAATTGCTCTATTCTTCGGGCATAGTAATACGATTGAAAGTGGTGCTGTGATTTCGTGACAAGAATAATATAAATATGAAGGTGAAGAACAGGGAAAATCCAGATGAAATTAAAGGCAAGATATCCATCACGATGAAGAAAGTATCACATTCCTTTCAAAAGGATGATAGAAGGGAAGACACGGTTACTACGTACCATAGGTTGAACGCATTGGAGACCGTAAAAGTAAAAGACACATGAGCGTCTTGCAGGCTTAGGGGAAAACACAACTTTAATAACAAATTGCTCTGAAAGAAAGCGGAAAATGAGAGAAGCAGATTGGTCAAAGTCTGAAAAAAAATCGGACTAAAATAACAAAGTTATGGATTTTTGAAAGGTATAAACATTATACGTATTTCAAATTGGCCGAATATGTAGTGTCAATGTAATATGGCGGGCAACTCTTCAATTCGATTCAACACACAAAATAACAATTTTTTTTCTCAAAATGTATGAAATTAGAAAGTCTTTTCTTTTTAGAAGGTTCATAATAATATGCTATTCAAAACATATTCTGAGTAGTACCCCAAGGCATGAGGTGTTGAGAAGAAAAAAAAATAATTATATGTTTGTACACGACAAACGAGAGAGTTTTTCGTGACTATGTGACAATCCATTGACCAAACTTTAAGTTTGAGATTCGCCCGCATGTCATGATTCAAAATTTCAAACTTGCATAACATTCCTATTATTTTTACGATTCATTGCAAACTTCCTTCCTTATCATTTTTTCTCTTCTTTTTGCTGCTTTTAAAAGAAACTTATTACAAAGGTTGGAGAGAGTTTTCTTTTATGAATATTCAACCATTATTATCATCTGTAATCCACCAAGATAGCTCTTAAACCGGCATCTAGTCAGGACATTTTCGTGCTAATAATTATCCTTGGAGTGACATAACACAGACTTCAATTTTTTTTTCCCAGCTGTGGAGCCTGGAGGTAAATCTTTCTCTCCTGAATAAAGTAAGAAAACCATTTAAAAGTTCATGGCATTTCATTCATCTTTAACACCACTCGGCGCATTAAGCATGTAAGAAGATATTGGATGTTACCCGCGTTGGGTTCGATAATGTTTTTGTAAATCCCTGTAAGATGTATTTAGAAATTAATGTAGAGCTTTAATGCGTAAGGCAGACACATTTCACTGTATCAACGTCAGATGCTTAGACAGACCATTACAGACGCTTTCGACTTGGATAACATATTAACAGAAAGAAATGAAAAATATTGCTTTTAAGGCGAGATCTAAAAATTACGGGAAGACTCCGAGCAGATTATAATTAAAGAATACCTTTAAAGAAGAGAGAGAGTGTGAGAGAGATAGCTTGCATATTGAAATTTGAGATGGGAAGATGGGGGACTATCAGAATTTCATGTCTCGAATGAAATGAACCTTCGAGGCAACTTCTAAAGATTAATCCCTAAAGTGGACGATATGAATTGATAATCTTGCTCGATACAAGGGATGATATAAAGGAACTCTGTATCCTTGAAATGTTAATGTATTCAATGGATAGACTGTCCCCGTTTAACTGATTTATCAAAAGTTCATGACAAAATGAAAGTCCAAATAGTCTCAAATCCCCATATTAAAAATCAGAAGGAAAAAGTCACACAAATACTAGAGATATTCCTTTTTAAGGCAGTGAAAAATCAAGATCACGATACTTTAAAAGCTTTCATCTCGGATATCATTGGCGACATTAGGATGATGATAAGAGTATGAAACAATTATTACACTTTGGGACCGTTGAATTGCTATTTATTCCTTCAAAGCGTATGAAAAACACATAGATTTGATAGGTGCATAAAAGCATGGATCTAGTAGGTTCATGATAAAATAACCCCTTCCTTTTTACGAGGGTATTGCGC